TGTTTTTCTTGACTTTTAATCCTAACAATGTACTATAAAATCCATGGCCATGTTAGGAAAAGAATATAAATTTATAATATTTCGTGGATGTCTACAAAAGTACAATCATATAACATAGAGTTTAACAAGTAATATAGTTCTTATTTTAGAAATTGATTTCAACCAATTACATAGACAAAACTCGAGGTGAAAAAATTTGATGGATAAAGAATTTCAAGATCTCAAATAAATGTTGATGCGCATTCACCAATTCTATAAAACAAAAGAAACAAAAAAATTAAAACTATCAACCTCAATTGATTTTTTAGAACTAGGCATAAAATACGGAGGAATTAACCACAACTAGCCATCATAATTCATATAAATAAAACCAGCAACTCATAATGAACTTGAGTAAAGCTACAATGAGGTAACATATCGAAATCAGAAGAAAAAAAAAAGTCAAACAATTCTCATAAAAAAAAAAAGAGAGTCTAAAACGGTAACTTTAGATTTATAAAAGTAAACAAATGCCATTGCAAAATTCATAAGCATGTCATCGTGAGTCAAAAAGAATAAACTCAATTAAAAAGTAACATGTCAAATCATATACCAACTGCCAAACAGGAAGGACATAATTGCATGACCCTTACGCAATATTAACAAAAAGTGGAAACTTGACAACTTGTATAACCGGTAAATTTTAAGTGGAAGAAGATTTTATACAAGAGATATTCGGAGATGACAGATTTGAATACTGTACCTCGGGTTATTCTCTTAACCAACTCAAGTGGAAGAAGATTTTATACAAGAGATATTCGGAGATGACAGATTTGAATACTGTACCTCGGGTTATTCTCTTAACCAACTCAACTCTAAGCGTGGACGAAGATTTGAGGAATTGTTAAGAGGCTGCAAAATCTAGATAAACCATAATATCCAGAATCGAAATTTAGACGACGAAAATTGAAACTAATCAATACAAGCGGGGCATTTTATTTTATTTTTAATCTTTAAAAAAAAAAAAATTTGTTTCATGCAATCTAGGTTTAAGTGGGGAAATTTTTTCTTGCCAATCTAATTTATCTTGTTACTCACCCGGTGGGACTACTATAACTGAGTAATAAACTTTTTCATAAAACTAAACGCATGTGATCATTTTTTATTGCCCTAGTATGAAGTAGGTTATGTAGAAAGACTAGTTTCACCAGCTGTTAAAAATGGAGCTCGAATATAAAACACAATGCCTGCCTGCATGACGGTGGACGAAAAGAAAATTATGGAAATGGGGGCATTTTAATCAGTCATTCATCCATTAAACCTCACGCAGTATTTGCATCTATAGTAATACAATGTCATGAAAGAAGTGAAAGGCTAACGAAGGAAAGTAGAGCAGAGACGACAATAAAAATAAAAGTAAAACTGAAAACAAAGATATAATTGATAGATCATTAAAACTTCAAATTTTAGCATATCCTCAACAGTGTTTCGATAGAAGCCTAAACCAAAAAATGGATTCAGTATGAATTAACAGATCATCTCAGATCACCAAATTTCAGATATACTTTGTTTTTCTACGATGCCACTCAATGTAAGCAAAACTTTAGCACCCGAAACAGATACATCTAGCATAGAATAACAGGTTAGTCCGCTTCTTTCCAACAAGTGCAGCAGTTAAATATACAATCTTATGTCAGATTAATTGTAAATTGCCTAACTAGTTACAAGTTAGAAATCTATAACCATGGAAGAAATGTGTGTTGTTGCAAGTTACAACATACGCATTAATATCACACTGCTAACGCGGCCAGTGATGACTAAGAACTAATTGCATTTTGGCATGAACTTATTCAAACCAGTAACAGGCAAGGTTATTTCAAGTTTCAGATATTACAAGTTAGAAATCTATAACCATGGAAGAAATGTGTGTTGTTGCAAGTTACAACATACGCATTAATATCACACTGCTAACACGGCCAGTGATGACTAAGAACTAATTGCATTTTGGCATGAACTTATTCAAACCAGTAACAGGCAAGGTTATTTCAAGTTTCAGATCTTCTGAAATCTGAATCATACAAAGCATGGGAAGCAAGGAGGGAGCTTTTTTGAACCTGGTTCAGGGCTTCACCATAACTGCGGTACTCAAAGAGTGAGTGTTTCAGCATCCTTGGCACTTCTGGACATTCCGTGGCCTAGCCTTCCATCATCCTGCTCATCATATGGATTTCCCCTATAATTAGAACTTGCTTCTTCATTTTCTGAACAGCCAGGTCTTTCAGTTAGGAACTGTTCCCAGAAAACATCATTTACTGGAGCAGGTGGAGGCCCTTGATTGTTATTTGTGTCTTCTTGGGAGCAAGTAATAGGCATGTCTTCATCAGCTGGATTTTTGTTTGTAAAGGCTCTTATATCTGATTCCTTGCCATTGGCATTTAATCCTGATGCTAGGGATTTGCTGATATCCTGACCTACTAGGGGTATTGTAGCAGAATGAGGACTACTATTGACTTGCAACGGGGAAGATGCTAGAGTGAGCTTTAATTGGCAGGATATATGGCCATCACCCTCTTCGTTAGAAGACAAACCTGGCTGCAATGAATGAAGTCTCGGGTTTCCAACAGTTGGTGCTTTTCGTGTTAACAACGAATCCATTTTGAATGCAAAAGATGTTCCAGTATCTGAAAGTTCTAAGGTTTCAGGTGCAAATAAAAGGCCTTCTGTTCTTTTCTGCACACCCTTAAGTTCTTCAGATATTTTCCTAGTAGGACTATACCCATCTTCATTGGAACTCTGTGTGCTGCGTGAAACCAGGTTAATGTCTGAAACAGCTGGTGATAATTCTAGTCTCAGTTTACTTGAAAAGTCTTGGTGGAAAATATTCCCAAACTCAGATCTGGAACTACTTTGGTTATCCACAAAACTATTCTCCACAACTGGCTGTAGGTGATCAACATCAGGCAATCGCCTTTTCTTATTACATGCTGCAAAATCCATAGCTTCGATTTTTCTAGTGAGATGTTCAACAAAAGTAGGGTTCTGAACATTCTTATCTAAGAATTTCAGCAAATCCTTCTGTCGTTGTTCCATGGAATTCACCCGCTGTGTTAGGTCTTCCAACTGCAGCTTTGCATCAGACCGCTGCTGCTTGAACCTTGAAATATTTGCCTCTAGTGTGGCTTTATCATGTGAAAGCTTCTCTATTTCGTCATCAAGAGCCGCTCTCTCCGGATCTACCATAGAACCTTGAGGATTACTGTGGCTGTGAATGGGTTTTCTGCGGTGGATATTCTTAAGAAGATGCTTTTGATCTTGTATGAAGTCTTCATTAGCAAATTCCCATTTCTCTGGATCAATCTTTCGAAATCCCTGTGACAAATTTATGTCCCAACGTATTTAGTTACATTATATCGAGACTCAGTTCCGCCATGTAAAAACAGCGATTAATTAGAGATGATACAAAATTATGTACAATGTATTTGAAAGTAGGTGAGCAGGGGGAATATTGAAAGTATGATTCATGAGAGAGATAAAACTAAATGAACAAGAAATGAATTCCTCAATTATGAGTTGCTCACCATAAGCCATGGAACATATCAAGCAAATTCATGCATTGGAAAACACAACCGAGGAAGGCCCTATACTTAAATTAAATATATTACCCCAATGAAAAATACATCTATTTCGTTAATCCATGCAAATCCGCATTATAAAAACAAAGAAATCAGAGAACTTCAACAAATATAATGCAATGTAGCCACTGCACGGAAAATTAAAAAAAGAAAAAGAAATATACTTTATTTGAGAAATTGTAAAAGGGTGCCATTTGGCATCACGTTGGAGCACATTTTTTTTGCTGTTTGATGTTAAATATGACATTAACATGGAATTATAGAAAAGCACTGGATATGCTCTAAGCAAGAAAGTTGTGAAACTTTAGATCTGTCCCTGCGCATAAAATCTTATAACACACACAAGACTCAATTCTAAAAACTGTTTTGACTCACTCCCAGGGAAATAACCATCAAAACCATAACACTCGTCATCCATTGTCGCATTCCAGGCCTAAACATTAAAAATCCTAAAATTGCAAAATTTAATAATTTGAAAGAAAAATATCAACGTTCTGCCTTCAACTTGGTGCATAACCCAAAAGCAACTATGGATGGCCCTAAGAAGGTAAAGAAACTTAAAACAAAATCATCAAAGTAACTATTTGGCAACAGTTATATCAATTAGATAGTACTTGCTTTTAAGTTCTCAAACGATGATTTCTGCTCAAATCAGAACCATTATTCCACTTTCAGTAATTTGGTATTAATTAATGCTGACTATGAAGAGACTATAATATGTTCCTAAATGTCCAAAGTACCATGGAGTTGATGGTATATAGGATTGACAAACAAATTAAAGGTAATGCTAGTAGTGGATAAAACAGGAGGATCTTATTATTTTCAAGTTTCATAGTCAAATAATTCTTAATGGTTAAGTGGACACATTGGAAGCAATTGAAACTTCAAAAAATTGTTCAAGCTCATTGGTTAGGTATTCAACTGTAAGAAACCTGGTCAACTAACTATATACAAATTGAGCATCAGTAATCTTACATGTAGGAAAATACCATTCATTTTATTTTATAAATAAATAAATAAATAATATATATAAATATACACATATGTATTGAAACTTTTGCCACAATGTAGCAATCAACCTAAAGCAAGGTGGTTCATATGTTTTATATGGAAACACTTGGATATGAAAAAACGGTGCACTGCATTTTGTTTTCAGACCAAAGATGGCCTGGCACATTTCACAAGCAATGCATGTCTAAAAAATAATTAGAAAGCTTCATAACACAAATGTTTGATGAGCAAGACTTTCTATACATATCGAAACAAACACGAATTAATCACTAAAAACAGTGAATCCTTTTGTGAGGATGCTAATTTTTGTATTTACTTTAATTGACTCTTACTTAAATTAGGGCATTTTTCAAGGCATCAAGGCACTCATCTTTCAAAATTCCTTGCCTTAATCAAGGTCAGTTAAGTCAAAATTGCCTCTTATTCCAGTTAAAGTACTTCCCTAGCAGCAAAAAACAATTGCTTCAAAAAATTTCAGCTCCCATCCTTGTGTCATGGCCCATATAATTTTCCCTTGCAATACCAGCATTTTAGAAGATACATTACCTGAAATCTTGTTTCATCTTTCGATGTTGGATATCTAGGATATGAAACAACAGAGTGCCCCAAGCCCGTCTGCACATTTTGTTGACACATTCCTGATAGTTCCACAGTAGCCCTTTCCTCCAGTATCCAATGGCTTACCATCATGACCATGCATAATGATGCATCATAATCTAGCCTACAGGTCGACCCTTTCCTGGACTCTAACCTAGTTGCATGGTGAAAGTGCTCTGATACCAAATATCATGCCCTAAAACCTACAAAATCAAACTGCAAGGGAGGGCCGCCCAAGAGCTCATATGTGGTCCCAAAATGTTCCACTTTTCAATGTGGCACATTTGTAGCCACGGCATGGCCTTCGCATTAGCTCTTCTTGCTTGAAAACCTCAACAGGCAGCCAAAACCCCTTCAATAATCCAAATTTCATATGTATCGCTAAAGATTTGGTAAAGGTTTTATGGTTGAAAGAAATATCTTTTCTCTCAAACTGGAAAAGGAAAAAGAAAACCAAGAACTTTCTGTACAGTTTGGTTGAGCCAGACTAAGAAATTCATTGAACACTTTGAATGAGCCCCACCTAAAAGGTCCCTCTTTTTTCTTCCATTTTAATGAAAAACAAATTTTATTGGAACCAATAAGAAAATACAAATTACATTCAAAATTGGCAACATATTCACTACAAAAAAATTCAGCTCAAAACCATAAACACCATACAGGAAAGGTTAAAATAACAATTAAATACAAGCCAAAAAAACAACAGCTTGACAATCTGCAAAAACAGGGAAAAAACATGATCTCCCTAAACTCAGAACTACCGAGGCCCTGCAATTTCTTAAAAATGCTAGTACTTTGAAACCAAAAAAAAAAGAAAGAAACCAAACAATGATTCAGCAAACTACGGAGTCTTCTAAGTTGATATTCAATATCAATACTCAACTAATATTAAAAATTATTAATTTTTTCGGTGAACAACTAAAGTTCAAAATTTGCGATTGCTATAAGTCATCTGTATGGATTTTGTTAAATACTATACTATATACCAATTTTTGAACCGGTAATTTACAATCAACCAAACACAAAATTAGTAAAACACGAAAAATTTTCAGGCTACATCTAAACAAAGGAAATTGGGAGGAAAATGCTCGATGCTTTCAATTTTTCAAGAATTTAACAATTCACCTAAATCAAATCTTAAAAGGGAAGAAACTTACGTATGTATTGAGCTGACGAATGAAGCTAGAGAAGTTGTTGTGCTTGAAATAGGTGGGGAGCAGAAGCCGAGCGAACTCCGGCGGGTTCCAAACGACGAAACTTTTCTTGTTCGAGCTCCACGACACGATCTCGTCTGTCGCTGAATCATCCACCATGTCGTACGTCTTCAGCAAAAACGGCGCCGGACCGCCTCCTCCGCCCGCAGTCGAAGCTCCTTCCATTATGGGCGCTCGGGTCAGGGTTTGGGCGGTCCCGTATCCGATTGGAACGTTCGAGAGAAATAGGAAAAAAATTGACGACAGGTGGATGAAGCGAGAGTCGACGCTGGAGAAAGAGAGAGAAAGAGGAGAGAATTTAGAACGCTCGGGTCGAGACGCGCCGGTTGCCAGAGTTGACTTGTAAAACTACGGCCTTAAAATGTTCGTTTTCGGTAGGTCACGCCACGTCAGCATTCAAAATACAAATACTGTTATACTGACATACCCTTGGGCCATGTTTGGTGGACCGGACTTGCATACCACCAGACTTGTATTGATGATTTTAAAATCCTAATTGAATACCATCAAATTTTTATTGATTACTTAAAAATTATAATTGAATACCACTGGACTTTTAAACTTCAAAAAAATCAATTAAAATCCTAATTGAATACACCCCCCAATTAAAATGGATATGAGTCCAGTCTGTTGTTTGGTAGGCTTAAATGGATCACGAACTCGTTATGACAAAAAAAAAATTCTGAATTTGAAAACCCACACTAAGACATTGTCACGCCACGTCAGCATTCAAAATACAAATACTGTTATACTGACATACCCTTGGGCCGTGTTTGGTGGACCGAACTTGCATACCACCAGACTTGTATTGATGATTTTAAAATCCTAATTGAATACCATCATATTTTTATTGATTACTTAAAAATCATAATTGAATACCACTTGACTTTTAAGCTTCAAAAAAATCAATTAAAATTCTAATTGAATACACCCCCCAATTAAAATGGATATGAGTCCAGTCTGTTGTTTGGTAGGCTTAAATGGATCACGAACTCGTTATGACAAAAAAAAAATTCTGAATTTGAAAACCCACACTAAGACATTGGTTTCAAAGACTAACGCGGAAATGAGCTTTCGGGGGGAGTATTAAATTGGGATTTTAAAAGATTATTTTGAGATGAATAAGGGCCAGTTTGGCATTGCTGTGCTGTGAAAATAATCGCTGTCAGATTTGCTGTGAGATAAATCAGCTGTGAGAGAAAGCAGTTTGGCGTTTGGTAAACTTTTTGTTAAGAGTGTTGTTGGTACTAATTCTTGCGTAATCAGAAAATAATTCCCGCATAATCATTAAACCTAGCGCCTCTTCGAAACTAATTCCCGCATAATCAGAAAATGAAAGCACCTCATTAGCTGCTTTCCCTTATAGCTTTCTCTCACATCAATTTTTACCAATAAGTGATTTTCTCATAGTTTACCAAACGGGCTGGGCTTCCCAAAATTTTTAAAAAATCACTTATTACCCCAAATAAGCAATGCCAAACTAGCACTAAGTCATGTGGTATTCAATTAAGACTTTTAAATAATCTAAACAAGTCTTGTGGTATTCAATTAAGATTATTAGGATTTTTGAATGAGGGTGTCGAAATCTGGCGGTATTCAATCAAGACTTTAAATAAGTAACAAAAAGTCTTATGGTATTCAAAACCGTGCTAATTTCAAAGGATTTTTTAAAATGTGAGATTGTGTGAGATTTTTAAGTAGGAGGTATAAATACCAAGCCCTATCTCAAATCCCATCCTAATCCATCAGACTTTTCAAGTGAGATTTTTTTAAAAAAAGAATTATTTCCTCACCGGTTGGGCACTGCATATAAACCATGGCAACCAAACCACCATTAACGACCCCTAGGTATAAGAAATGTTCTTTCCTCACCTTTCCTCACATGAAGACCAAACCACCTTCAAAACAAAGAGCTACTAGCTGTTGGGGTAAGCTTCTAACATGTGGGCCTTCACGCATCTATATGACAAAGCTGGATGGCTGGGCAAAAATTGCCCACCATCTGTTCGACACAAACCCCCAAAGGGTATAGCTTCTGTTTAGATTAATTACTAGAAAGTCGTTAATAGAATTCTTGTTGTGGAAGAGGTTGGCATTCAAATGCAACTCGTGTATTTGGGATGGTGGTGGTGTGGACCCAAATGTGATGGTGATGCAAGCAAAGGCTTGGTTGGCTGAATATCAGCAAATGAGGGATGACTGTTAATTTTGGTTGGCTGAATTCATCAAATGTAAACTTCAGCTCATAAATTCTGTTTATGAGGAGATCACTAATGAAGAAAAGAAAGAAACTGATTTGGAATAAATCCCAAAAGGTATTTCATTATGGTTTACAATTACACAGCATTTCTGGTTCCACAAGAAATGGAACCTGCACCATGATTTGACACACTCTTTTGACCCAAAACCAACTAAATCTCAAACAATACGACTACCTAAATTACAAAGATTAACAACCAGAATCGAAATGCTCCACTAACAGTAAAACATCAAATATCTTGTCATGACAAAGAAACATTGCCAAGACTTCAAAAATTCTCAAGGGAGGTAGGTGTCTTGATCCCCATCACCATGTTAACAGTCATCCCTCATTTCCCGTCAATACACAAATGAGAGTGTGTGTGGTGGCTGTAGGAGGGTATGCTGCCGAGAGTGAAGGTTAGCATCTCATTTTCAAGGGTCTATTTTTTCTTAAAAAATATTATGTCGATCTCAGAAAGAAATTTATGTGGTCCTTTCAAATCTTATAAATCTTGTAATAGAAATCTTTAAAATCATAAGTAAAAAATCTTGATTGTATAAATCCATTAAAAAAATCCTATAAGTAATTATATTCTGTTTAAATCCGCAAGACTTTTTTATCCCTAAATAGTCTTTTAAAACTCAATTGAATACACCCCCTTTCGTCTTCTCTTCTCTCGCGTCGTCTCCCTCAATGTGCTTCGCGTCGCTCCCTCAGCCTGCTCTACGTGGTCTCCTCTCTCCTCTCTCGTCTCTCATCTCCCTTCTTCTCTCATCTCTTCTCTCTTTTGGTTTTTTTTATAACTGATTTCTCTATTCTGGATTACTTGGCTCTCTTTCAATTTATTTTTCAATTTTATTGCTAAATACTGAGATTATGACGATTCTTAGCCTATTTTTATGGGTTAGATGTTTAGTGTGGTTTTGTGGGTTTGATTTCTTTTGATATCTTTTAAAAAAAATTCATTCATCTTTATGTTTCCCTTCTAGAATTGAAGATCTGGAAGATTTGGGTTAGATGTTGAGTACGTTTTCTTTTTTTTTCTTTTTCACTTTGCATTGAAGATCTTTCAAATTTGGTTTCCCTTCCAGAATTTGCATCATTCTTTTTTCTTTTTAAAAAAAAATATTGTATAATAACACAGACAGATTTTATTTTGATAGAAAAAGAATGACCCTTTTTCTTTTTCTGGTAAAAAATATGAATTTTATTTGATAAAGAAAGATACTGAAATTTCGAGTAGAAAAAAAAAACTAAAAAGAGAGGAAGAAAGATAGTGAAGGAAAAAAACAAGACACATAGGCAAAAAGTTAGAATTTTTCATTTGATTATTGTTAATAAAATAAAATTTGGATTTATTAAAAAAAAGTTAATTCCAGTATGTTGTTTGATGCAAAAATGAATAGTATTGGACTCAAAGCCTAGCTAGTCCAATCCAATGCTTCAAAGCCTATCCTAACCAGTCTAAGCCAGCCCTCCAAACGGAGTCTTGAAATATTAGATGTTTCATCATCTAACGGTTATAAATGCATTGGGTTATTAGGAGCAATAGTCCTTGAATAATAGTCCGATTTGTATTTTGACCCTTTAATTTTTAAAATAGTTATTGTGGTCCTCCAACTTTGCTTTTGTTAACAATAGACGTCATGTCGTCAATTTTGTTAGGTTTTTTGCTAAATTTCTTAGTAAAAAATGAAAATTGCTTGGTTTTTAATTTAGCTTGATTTTTATCTCTTTTCACAACCATACCACCCAACAACCCACGGCTAGACCGCCAACCATAACCTATACACCTAAATCCACCACCCACACTAGCCACTATCTTCCCCGACCCAACACAACACACACCAGCTCCTACAATTTGATGTAGAACACATGGCTGAGTTGATTCAGGCTTAGTTGGACAAGATGCACGTCATCGTGGCAGTAAAGTCCAATCTGTGCAAGTATGGGCCATAAGCTCAGAATTGGACCCATGACCTATCGTTTTGAAGAGAACAATGTGACAAGTGCAACTCACTCAATTTCAGCATTTAGCATATTTTAGGAAACTTTTGCTATTCAAGCCAAATTCTATCGTTTACTTTGACTTTTCAGCATTTAAAGTTTTTAGAATATTTTGGGAAACTTTTGTTATTTTCCTTTTGTTTTCTAATTAGTTTTCCTAGCAAATTTAGGGGTTTCTCATTAGCTTTCCAAGCAAGTCTAGGGTTTCTCTGGCAGATTCATGTTTGCTAGTGGATTCTGACGTGTTACTTGTAAGGTTATCATTCGATCTCCTTATTCCCTTATATCTCGTTGCTTCAGTTGGTATTAGAGTAGGCCTTGCCTCACTCAAAGTGCCTCCAATGGTGCGTCTAGACGGAGAAGATAGGACCCGTGGAGATGAGGAACCAATCACTCTTGATGAATTCAATACAGCCATAGAGGGTCTACATCAAATGATCCTGAACTTGGGAAACCAAGCACGACCAGACGAAGATAGAGGAGAAGACAGGAGTAACGAATGGTGGCCCCTATGGCTCCCTCATTGGGAAGATAGTGACACAGAGTTGGAGAAGAAATTCATAACGATCACGCACAACCCAATAACCAAACGCCAAGAAGACTATCGCATAAGGACTAAAATTGCATATTTCAATGGGCACCTACAAGTTGAAGATTTCTTGGATTGGCTTATTGAAGTGGAGAAGTTCTATAAACTTATGGAAGCCCCCGAGGCAAAGATGATGAAGCTAACAGCTTTTCGTCTCAAAGGAAGTGTTGTAGTGTGTGTTAGATGTATGCCCTGAAAGCCAATCATTAGATGAAATCTTTCATGGAAACTTCGTTTAAACCAATCATTTAGGTTAACACAAAATGGCAAATAAGTCAACATAGGTAACGGTCCATGCTTGACCATTGACTTATTTGACAAGTCCATGGATTTATGAGATAAGGAAAGTGATCTAAAGAAGTTAGATGCAAATGGACCTTTCCCTATAACTCAAACAAAAATTGTTCCCGGTCATAGGATCGTTCAATTGGGCATTAACAAACCGCAAAGATCAATACACATTCTATCTGCTCAACCAGAAGAATGACTAGTCTCGAGTTATTCGTGTGTAGACACTGAGGT